TATATATATATATATATATATATATATATATATATATATATATATATGTATATATATATATTATATATATATATATATGTATATATATATGTATATTATATATATATTATATATATTATATATATTATATATATTATATATATTATATATATTATATATATAGTGACAGAGAGATAAGGAGATAGAGAGATAAGAAGAATATAAAAAAAGTATCATACACCTCAGCACAAAGAAGAAGAAATTATAAAGAGAAACACCAGCCCATCAGCAACAAAAAAAAACTAAAATAAATAAAAGAATAAATAAAAAGAATATAAAAAACAATATATTTATATAAATAAATAAAAAAATAATATTACAACTCACCGCTGAGCTCAAGGTCTAGCGAAACAAATTCAGCTTTCTTCAGCACCTCTCTCAGCTGCTCTATATGCCGTGACCATAGACGCGTGGAGGTTGTATGGCCTCTAATTAACATTTTCTGAGTTTATAAATAAAATAAATTAAAAAAAAAAAAAAAAATATAAATTTTGATGGGTTTCTTGTACTAAATACCTACACCGCCGCTGATCAACAGCTGCCTATACACCCGAAAGAGAGAACTTTTTTTCATCGATTCAGCCATTGGAACGCCGAGAAAAACTAAAATTTTTTTTAAAAAAAATTAAATTAAATTAAATTAAATTAAATTAAATTAAAATTCAAGAAAAAAAATGAAACAAAATCAATAAATTATCCATTCTCAGCTCTGATCATCACCGCAGCTTTCCTCCGTGTCGGCTGTTGGCTTCGGGGGTAGAAACCGAAAAAAATTCAGAAAAAAAAGTTGAAATAGAGAAAGTTAATGAAAATAAATAATAAATTAGAAACAAAAAGAATAAAAAAAAGAAAAAAAAGAAAAAAAAAAGAAAAAGATAGGCCTCTTGGTTGCAGTGAAAGCAGAGTTTATAATACCGCCGTTTCGGGTGTACATGCAGCTCAGTTGAACAGAATTCGCGTTTCAGCTAAATTCAATCAATTAATTTTATTTTTTCACAAATAAATTTAATTTTTTTTTTATTTTTTTTTTATGCAT